GATTATGCAATGGACTAGTATATTAAAATGTAAGGCATAAGCAAAAAATTAAAAAAAACCCTCAAACATCTTGCAACAGGAATTTTAACTTTCCTTGTGCCTATTATCAAGACTATCACCTTGTTTTACAGGCACCGCTTCAAAGAGGATCAAAAGCTTGCTTGTCCACTGGATATGTACTTCTCAAAAAATGAAAGGAACAAGAGACTCTAGGAAATCTAATTCAAACTACTATTTTTTTCTGTTTTATCCATTTCATTCAGTTCCTAACAACTTACACTGTCCATATCAATACAAAAATCCATTTTTTTCCATTGAGCTCTATTTTGTTTGCAGCACTTACTTGTTTACACACATGCATCTGTATACATGTCCAACAATGTGATGGATCTGCTAAACAGAATGGGTTGTAGCTTAAAATAGTGGATACTTATTAGAAGCCAAAAATCACCAATTAACTGATCCAGTTCCAGAAATACAATCAGTATAGCAATCTGTTATCAGATGACCAGTTCTGCTCTTCCCCGATGAACTTGGGAGAATTGCTCAATAGATTTTGGCACCTTAACAGTAAAACCGTTGAACTGCACTTGTATTATAAATGGTGCCAGATAAGTAAAGCGTAGATAGGACTCTCATTAATAAATATGACTGTGTGCTCTCTTACAGCTTGGTTCACAGAGGGCGCCACTTATTGCCATGTTGAAGATCGTTCCGTACTGGTTGGTTAACTTTCTCATTCGGACTGGCCTATTACATTGGATATCTTCAGTGTTTCGTCTTGCAACAACCAGCCATTCAGAATTAATATCTCACCTCACACAGAGCAAGGACTTGCAGGCACTTTCTGCATACCTGTTCTACGGTGCTGGACACACACAAAGGCATATTGCCACTCAGATCAGACGGTACATTCTCTTCATGGTTCTGTTTCATCTTCTTCTCTTGAAGGCGTCCCTCCTAAAGACTCCAGCTTTCTCATTAATGCCCTCCTCCTTCACCACTACAAGCGTGGTGCATACTATCCACGTGGGGGCGCAAGTGAATTTGCCTTTCACATCATCCCAGTCATTCAGCAAGCAGGTGGTGCAGTCCTAGTCAGGGCTCCAGTGCAACGCATCCTCCTCAACGAACAGGGGAAGGCGTATGGTGAGTGGGACAGGGGGAGAGAAAATAACTTCATATTTCATGTTTAATTTATTGACAAATTCTCTGAGGACAGTCTGATGGCTTGTTGTGGGTCTAGCCGAGTGTCCAAACGGACACAGCCTGAATTACTAACTTGTATGACTGCACAATGTACTCAAAGTATACTAAGTTTGCTGAATGTTTTCTGTTGCAAACTACAGCAGATCTTTTGCAATATTAAATGTCAACCTGTCAGTATATGCTTTACACATTAAACCCACAGCAGCTTACCTATGGAAACTCAAGCCATGAAGCTCCTGAAGCACAGTTTCTGAGTTGATTGTAATGCCAGAAGAACTTTGCAGTGACTAATTCAGCAGAGTTTTATGCATTAGTATACATCTCAGTGACCATACTCTGCAATTTATATGGTCAATTCATAGCTGAGTTACTGTAGTTCCAAAACTCCTCCACTTTGCAAAAATCCCAAGTACAGTTGATTGTGGAATATCTAGGAGGAAATAAATTTCATGAAATGGCTTGGCATCCCATTACAGTACCATACTCTAATTCACTGAGCTCGTCAGAACAACACATTCTTAATCCTACTGTACAAAACCGCAACAACCAGTGAGACAAACTTATTTGTCAGACCAGATTATTAAAAGTAAGGCAGTTATCTCTGTTTACTTAGTAGTTACAGATAGTAAAATGGGGTGGCAATTAGTGGCAAATGTTTTGCTGGTAGAATTTTAGTCACCTTAGGTCATTGGTAGTAAATTTGTAATGTCATGATGGTTTTAGACTGGATAACTTTATTGATAAATTTCTGTCTTGAAATTAATGTCTCAGGTTATCTGAAGTTTGGATTTACTGTTTTTCCAAAGCAACTCTACATTATCTGAGAAACAGGAGCAAGTGTTATCCAATGTCCAAAAACGATATCTCCACCAAGTAATAATATCAGGATAACACTGTGTATCTTTCAGGTGTGGTGGTTCTTAAAGGACAAGAAGAGATAGAGGTTCTTGCCCCTGCTGTAATTTCAAATGCTGGAATCTTCAACACCTTCCAGAAGTTTCTACCTCACAATATACAAGAAAAACCAGGTAACAGTCGATGTGTTGCACTTGTTTTTGATTTTAATTCGATATGAGTGTCATGCATTTCCTGAAGTGTCTTTTGCCCTCTAAAGATTCTATATGTTTTCTGTTGTATAGAGATCCAGTCATTGTTGAGTATGGTACATCATGGCATGGGTTCCTTTTTGGTCTTTGTTGGTCTGGATGGAACCAAAGAGGAGCTAGGCATTGTTTCCAATAACTTCTGGATGTATAAAGACAATGACTTGGACTCACTGTAGGTTTTCCTCTCTTCTTTCATTCCTTCATCTCTTTGTACTTTATCTTTATTTCTACTTCTAACTTCTATCCGATTTCTTCTAAAATCTAGTCAAAAATTGTATCTCGGTTGATACTTTTTTTTGTCATTCTAGTGTTCCATCTAAATATTTCCATGTTTATGTGTTTTATAATAATAATAATTGTAATAATAATAATAATAATAATAATTCAACCCTATCTTATCGCCATTGCAGTGTAAATTTTCTTTTGTGTCTTTGTACAAAACATTGTGTGAGAAGCATGGAGCAGTATTCATCTCTAAGCAGAGAGCAGGTTTTGGGAAACATTCCCATGATGTTTATCACTTTTCCGTCTGCTAAAGATCCAACAGCCAGCATCAGACATCCAGGTAATGCACATTTGCATGGACAAAATTCACCTGTGCATCTTTGATGCACCACTCTGACTGTTTGACAGTATTACAGTACCCTTTATTCTTCTTCCTATCTCTTCACAGGTAAGTCCTGTATGACTTTGTTAACCATGGCATGCTATGAATGGTTTGAGGAATGGGAGGGGACCAAGCTTGGGAAACGGGGACAGGACTACGTGGATCTGAAGAACAGTATGGCCCAAGAGCTGCTGGAATGGGCACTCACCATCTTCCCTCATCTGCGAGACAAGGTGTGTGTAGATACTTGTGAATGTGTTCATTGTCTGCAC